TCACACAAAACAATCAGGGGGAGGAGTGTGCCTTGGTCAGATATAATTTGTGATCTACCAATGCTACCAAGGACCATGCATCTTTTTCTTTCCCACTGTGTCCAGGAGTGACATCCACATGTTCCTTTCACCTTGGCAAATGCTGGGTCACTTCCCCATTACTCAGCCAACTGTGGGCCAGTGAAATAGATGAGAATAATCATCTTAGATGAAAGATTCTCTAATAGGATGGCTCCTTGGAAGACTTTCACCTCTTTACCAACCTTCAGTACTCAGCTTAGATAGCACTCCTTCTACCAGGTCTTCTCTGGTCTGTTCCTCAATCCCTGAATGGATTACCTGCCTAGGAGCTCCTACAGCACCTTGTTCTTGCCCCTCTCCCATCCTTAACTCTTCCCAGATGGCAAATGATGGTTACCTGTTTTTCTTATTCACTAGCCTGGGAGCCAACTGAGGCCAGCAAATTTCTCTAGTTCACTCATCATCACAAAGTTTCCAGTCCAAGGGTGTTAACAAACATCTATCAACTGAATGTGGGTCCTTTACAGATATCTCAGTATGTCAACCCTCTAGAATCCATATTGGAAAGCAGGAGATTACTGCATTGAGAAAAACATTGAGAAAGATTAAGTAATGTCTCTAATATCACATGACCAGGAAAGAGCAGGATTCCAACTAGGAGTCTAGATGTCTATGCCCCTGGTGGCGTCACTGCCTCCCGGAACTCTCAGTGTCCTTAGAAGCTGAACTAGCAACCAATCCCAGCGCAGAAATAGGAGAGGGAAAGTCCTAGAGGCCAGGTTCATGTGTTAGAAGCCAGTACAAGGATCCAAGTAACAACTGAGCAAATATTTTCCATCCATGCCAGGCTATATCCTCGGTACATGGAATCCTACTGCCATTAGCTCCCATTCTAGTTGTGGCAAGGAGAAAGAAAAAAAGCTAAACAAGTAAACGCATATGATGTCCAGACCACTCTAAAGAACTGTACTGATTTTGAAGTACAAAGTAATGACACATACATTATCTACCTTTCCCTGATTATATTAAATATACTTAGGAAAAGAAATATGTTTTTCAGTCCAAAAGAATAGAATTCTTTGATCACTATCAGTTAACCACTAGGATGATTTTTTTTAGAAATGGCAAAATCCTACAGGTAAATAATTGACAAATATTTAAGCAAGTGAGGTGCTGAACTTTCTGTGACTACCTTGTTGAATGCTAGGGGAAGGAATCCATGTTCCCTCAGTGCATTACTGCACAGCTCTGCAAGTGTGTCTCACACCTGGCATTCAGGTGTTCTGTATTTCTTTTATTTAAGTGATAGGCTCTATCTCACTGTGTCTGGAATGGAAGGGATGCTCTTCTTAGGAGGGTCACTATAAAAGAACACTGAAGTCAGTAAACATTCAGAGACATCCACTTCTGAGTAGGAAGGAAGAAAATGGAAACGTGGTCCCTCAGTTAGGCATGTCGAGTCAGGTGGGCCACGAAGACACAGACACAGAAAAGCAGTTCCAGTACAAAGAAAGGGGGTGGAGAAAAAGAGGAGGAGTTGTCAAAGCAGCAAGAGGAAGAAAAAGAGAGTCTCCCTTTACCAGTGGAGAGTCCAACTGGTCACCAAAGTCACTGTTCTCCGGGTTCTCATTACAGATCTTACTGATGGCTGCCTCAATGACATCTATACCTTTCAACTACAAAATAAGATAACCTGACTGCCCAACAAGCGTTTACTGAGGGCACACTTGTACAGAGGTCTGGTCACTGAGATATCCAATATAGCACCCTCCTGAGGACAGAGCTCAGTCTGAGGAAGCAAAAGGCTCTTCAACATATACAGTAAGTAGAAGAGGTGGTGTCCGCGCTGATACTAGACACTTGAGAAGAGAGTGGGGACAGAAGACATAACATTTCTCATTCTGCTAAGTGAGCAGGAGGAATTCCAGCAAAGGAACTGCCATGGCTGTTCCTTCACAGTAGTCTATTTTCAGCTGAGAACCCCTGTAGCTACACATTGTAAATGGGAACACATAGCGACTGCATTGATACCACATGGTTCTGGACCCTGGACACTCTAGGGATAAAAGACCCAAAGATATCTGATAAGCAGAAAGTTTAGCTGTGATACTTTCAATCAACAGATGTGCAATATATCCTGAAGGGTAACAGTCTGCCCAAAACTCTTGGTCCATAAGGCAGGGGGCCAAACTGAAAAGTGCAACTGAAATAATGATAGCAGGATCAAGGAGAGGACTGAACTCAGAGAGGGCCTGCAGCCCAGGTGGTCAGGAAAGCGTTCCCCTTGGGCATAGGGGGATATATTTTATAGGCTATGTAACTCTTATATGACATACTTAGGGCTAAAACTACTCTGGATTTCATATGATTTCCAGATTTTGGAATATGTGCACACACACATATATTTATATCTTGATATATGTAAATACACCCATATATCTAATTTGAGATCTCTTCGGCATGGGACCCAAGTATAAAGACAAAATTCATGTTTCACATACATATAATATACATCACCTAAAAGTGATTATTGTGTAGTCTCTGTGTCTGTGCACGTCTGTACACATGTGCTTGAGTATGTGCACGGTTAAGGGTGAACCCAGGTTCTCAGGGTATGCTGTCTACCCTCTTTAATGCTATACCCCCAATCACACTTGTATTCTAACAAGAATCTGTCAAAGGAGATAAGTTGTGCGATTTTCCAGCAGTTCTGTCACAGTGGTGCTCAAAAAGTTTCAGGGTTTGGAACAATTTGGATTTTAGAGTTTCCGAATAGGATGCTCTGTTGGTATTACCCCTCTGTGCAGATGAGATAACAGGATTAGAGAGGTTTAGTCACTCGATAAAGATCACAAAGCTAGTTCTTAGCTGTGACCCCATCTCACCCAGGTCTTTAAAATACAAAGAGCCCCATACTATTCAGTACATCAGACTCCTCTCACCTCTTTTAATGAGATTTGCCATCTTATGCTTACCTGTGGTTCTCTTTGCCTTTCAATTGTCATCATCTGCTAAATATCATAAAAAGATTTTATGTGAGAACAGCACTATTACTTGCAGAACATAGACATTCCTCACAATGCATGATTGGTTTCCTAGCCCAGACCAGAAGCAATGATGCTTGAGTGTATTTCCCACCAACCTGCTGTATAAAGAAACAAAATGGACCACTCAGGTTTAGTTTTAACCCAGCGATTTCACATAGCCCCGAGTATAATTTTCTTTATAACCACTGGCAAAATGAAAAAAAAAAAGCATTCCTTGCCTATGAAAAATGTTCACAAGACTTTTTTTAAATGCCAAGATGGTCCAGGTAAAGAGACACTAGTCCTCTTTGATGCTTAAAATATGGAAATCTCCTTTCATCTGGAAGTGAAAGGGTCAGCCAAACAAGGCCATTTCCTTGTCGTTTTGGAGCACAACTAATAAATAACCCTAACACTCAAATTCATTTGCTCAGTTGGGTGTGTGTGTAAATCAATCCAGATAAACTCTATAGGGATTTCAATAGAAATTTGTGAGCAATCCTAATAGCAAATTTCTGATCCTGCATAGGTCTAATGCCCTGGGTCAACTGGAGAACCTTTGATGCCTTCTCCTCTGAGTATCAGACACTGCAGTTTGCAGCTTGCTTTAGTTATTTGACTAAAATGCTCTAAATATTTGCACATTACCATCTCATAGCCTACTAAAAACAAGGCACATCCTAACCATCTGCCTCTCATAGGTCCTAGGGAGAGTTTTTCTGTTTCCATTTGGAAATGTCTCCTTCCTTGAAAACACTTCAGTGATTTTTGTCTCCTGTAAGTGAGGTGGGAGATATGAGTAGAGAGCTGGGCAACGCCAAAGAAACAGGTTATTTGTGAACCTGTTGAATACTGATTTGAACCCAGTGGCATCCCAGTTGCTAAACGATGCCCACAGGAACTCCACTCTCACTTATCTGCTTAAAATCGGCCATCCCTAGCTAGAGAAAGAGAAATACGCCACACGCAGACTGTCCAACCGCCATACTGAGACTGGGGCGTCTGAGGAAAACGTGGGTTATCTCAGAAAGCGCCTTTCTTGTTGGCTACAGCACAATTCTGGTCCTAGGACCCCAACCCACACCTTCCCTGTTTTAGGAGACTCTCTCCGAGTCTTTCACCACTTCTCTTAGTTGGACAATTCTAGGGACTTTAGCACTCATGCTTCCACTCTGTCCACTCAGCTATATAACTGTCTTTGCTTGTGTCTCCCTCCGTGTCTATCTCCCACCCTTAATCTCTAGGTCTCTCCCTCCATCTCTCTGCTATTCCCATGCTCTAGTCTCTCCCACCTCCTTCGGTCAGCTTCTCTGGGTTTCTCTCTGATTCCCTCATCCAACCCCCTTCTCCTTCTCAGTGTCTCTCGGGCTGTCTCACGCGCGTTCTTGCTCCGGAGCTCGTCTGGACATCCAGTCCCCTGCGTGCCGCCTCTTCTGCTCAAGTCCTGAAAACAGCGCTGCGCTGAGAAGCCAAGGGTTAAGACCACCGAGAGGAGCTGCGCTCCGGAGGCTAGAGAGGCCGCTCTGAGGAGGGCGGGGTCTGCGGGCCCAGCCAGCACCACTGGGCGGGGCCTCCGCACAGATCTGGTCCTTGGTTTGCTGCCACGGCTCGAGTGTGGGAGGCAGGCAGCTTAGTGGCGGCTGCCTGTGTCCGCGCCTTGGCGTCTGGGCAAGGGTCGGCTCCGGACAACGCTGGCCACGCTGGCGGCGTCTTGGCCACCCTTCCAGCAGCGCGACGCGCGACCTGGCGCGACCTCTCCCTGGGGTGGGGTGGGGTGGGGCCTCCGGACACGGCTCTGAGAAGAAACTGTGGGCAGCGGAGGTGACGTCAGTGGCGGACCCCCGGGAGCCGGCGCGGGGACCCCTGAGGCCGCCTGCTCCGGGACGGGCCGGTTAGTTCTGGTTTCGAGCGCTTTGGGGGTACCTGTGCTTACCTTGGAGTTGGCCGACTTACCGGGTTTTCTTTGGGCCATGGGAAGCAGCGGTTCTTGAACGCAGGCTACAAGTTGCGCGCATTCGGGCTACAGCCCAGGAGGAGCGCTCCAGATGTGGAGAGCAGTGTCCTGCGGGGCTGCCCCGGCCTTCCAGCTTTATAAGGAGGAGACACGCCTGCCTGCCGCGGGTGGGCAGGTTTACAGAGAAGGGGCTGTTTTGTAATCAGAACTCTCGGTACGCTGAGCAGGGAATGTTCATCTCTGTTCCTGGGGATAGTTGATAAGAAACTTCTCATCAATATGGACTGTCCTTGAGATGGATAAAGCACAGGGAGTCGGAGGACCAGTTATTCTAGAGTGTTCTGGAAGCTTTAACAAAGGGTGGGCAGAGAGCAAGCCTTGAGGAGACTCCTTATAGGAGAGGGTGGTTCCTGATGGTCAGACCTGCTCTGAACACAAAAGTGTTACTGTGAGTTCTTCACCACGTCTCATTTCAGGGAGGCAAGTGAAATTTATCGTTCTCAACAAGGTGAAAAGCAGGGCTGTGTGTGTGTGTGTGTGTGTGTGTGTGTGTGTGTGTGTGTGTGTGTGTCTCATTTCAGGGAGGCAAGTGAAATTTATCGTTCTGAACAAGGTGAAAAGCAGGGCTTTGTGTGTGTGTGTGTGTGTGTGTGTGTGTGTGTGTGTGTGTGTGTGTCCATCCATCCCTGTCCTGGGGCTTTAAATTCAGGTCCTGAATGCTGTCCCTGACCTTTCTTTTTCCCTTCAAGGCTGGTGATCTACCACTAGAGCCACAGCTCCAGTAACAGCTTTTTATTTTTTTGAATAGTTTATTGGAAACCAGTCTCACGGACTTTGATGTCCTGGCTGGTTTCGAATAACTGTTCTCAGGTCTCAGTCTCCTTACTAGTTATGATTACAGGCGTGAGCCACCATTCTCAGATAAAGCAGGGTTTTTTTTTTTATTCCTACCCAGGTTGGTGTATAGATATGGAGATATTTTTACCCTGAAAGTAACTACCATGGCAAAACAATTATCCTAGAGTATCATTCCTCCTCCTCCTCCTCATTTTAAAAATGAAGTGATTTTTACTGTGTGTTGATGGAGGTGAGACCCTGGATCTCGCATGAGGTAGGTGAGTAACTACCACTGAGCTGCATTCTCAGCCCTTAAAAACTTAACTGACAAACCTGGTGCTTATGGATCAGCCCTGCAATCCTAGCTTCTCAGGAGGCTGAGGTCTGAGGATCAGTTGGAAGCCAGCCCTGGCAGGAAATTATATAAGACTTTTCTTTCCAATTAAACACCAAAAAATCCAAAGTGCAGTTGTGGTTCAAGTGGCAGAATTCTAGCCTTGAGCAAAAAAGCTCAGGGACAGCATGCAGGCCCTGAGTTCAAGCCCCAGGACAGACACTAAAAAATAAAAATTTGAGAAACAACCCACAGATTAAATATGTAAAACCATATAGATAAGTGGAGACATTTTCATCTTAACCTGGAGTACCACTTTGATGGATAAAAAGAATATTCTTTCAGACTAAATGAATGAAACCAGTTAGTTGTGTTTCCTAATTATTATTACCGTTCTATAAGGGATTGGCAACTTAGATACTAATCACTTAGGTCACCTTCCCAACAGCTCTTAAGTAGACAGTGGTTGAGTCCTACAACAGCCAGTGTTCCACATTTATTTCCTAAACTGAAGCCATCAGCCCTCACCTTCTGTGTACACGTCCCTTCTCCAGTGCTGTCTCAGTCACTTAAAAAGCACCACCTTCTACCCCCTGCTTAGGCAACAAATGTTGAAAGCCATCCTTAATTGTTGCCTCTCCACCAGCCCCACAATCTCCAAGCCTAGCCAATTCCATGCACCATGACTTTCTGAGTAAGAACCTTAACACATCCCTTGTCAACATAGTTCACTCTGTAGGCCCATCACTCCCATCTCTGGTTCTTTACAACCAATATCCTGACAAAGCTGCTCTTCCAGCCAGCGATCATAACGTCTTCAACATAGTCGCTATTCTACAGGTCTGGAATTGCGCCACCTGCTGGTCAGAACATGTCATCCCTGCTCAAATTCTGCAGGTGCTGCCTGCTGCTGTTCAGATGATGACCAGCCTTCCAGACCAGGCACTCATGAGGCACTGCCTGCTCCAAATTCCTCCTCAGTAACAGAACCTTCCTCCTGTTGCACCCCAGACTCAATTTCTAGTCAGGCTAATCCTTTGACTAGCAGGTACCCCTTTCACCCCTTCCCCCACCCCTACTTCTACGGCCTCACAGATTGTGTTGCCTTTGTTTATTAGCATGTACCACCTCCTTCCTCCTGCCTGATTCCTACTAAAACTCATAGCTTTCAGGCAAGGTAATGCAATTTCCATTTTATGTAGGTCATAGCTGAATGAAAAATCGTATCTATAGGTTTTCATATTTTACTATATAGCTCCTGATGGAGAATCTTTACAAATTCCCCAAATGGGCTGAGTAATTAGAAACTGAGCAGGGTTTTCTTAGAAAGGCTTACATGCAAATAGACTCCAGAAAAAGGCAACTATGGAAGGTGACAGACTACTTGACTATAGAAATCATTTCATTGTACATATACTGCAAAGCATCATGTTATACACCTTACCTATATAAAATAAAAATAACTATAAAAACCATCATGAGCTGGGCACTGGTGCCTCACGCCTGTAATCCTAGCTACTCAAGAGGCTGAGATCTGAGGATCACGGTTCAAAGCCAGCCCGGGCAGAAAAGTCCATGAAACTCTTATCTCCAATAAACCACCAGAAAACTGGAAGTGGTGCTATAGCTCAAGTGGTAGAGTGCTAGCCTTGAGCTGAAGAGTTGAGGGACAGTGCTCAGGCTCAGAGTTCAAGCCCCTCGACCGACAAAAAAATAATAAAAACAATCATGACATTTTCATAAAATAAGGCATATGTGTTGAAGATTTTAAGGAACATAGCACTTACTTATAACATAGATCTTCCCTTGTTTATTGAGGACCCTTTATTGCATTTGATTTGGAGTATGGAATTGTGACCACAGGTTTTGTACTATGATGGGAACTGGATTGAGGACCTACCTCACAGGGAAAGGAAAACATCTAAAATATGTCATTTTGTGGTCTTGTAAAACAAGTAAATAAACAGGACTTGAAATGCCTAAGTTTATGGGCTCCATTTTGATTAAGTAATTATTCACTGAAACATGAATGCAAGTTACAATCTGAGGTTTCTGTAATGACAGTGTAATAACTGAGTTGTCCTCCCTTGCAGGAGAGTTGATGGGCTTACTGCTCCTTGTGGTCATCCAGGCAGCCAAGAAGAGCTGTCTTCTCAGTCAGGAAGTCACCCACCAAGTGATTCTGTGCTTTTAGTACAGCCCTTGTATTATACCCTCAGTAGGTGCGCCATGGACTCTGGAAGGTAATATATAAATTCTTAAATCTCTGGAATGAGGTCAAATATACAGCTTATTCTGCCTGATACAGGACAAACTGAAGGTAATCCTCATTCACTATGGCCCATTCTATCCATCTATCACTCTGTTAGCATAATGCACCTATTCTGGCTGAAGAATAGGCCAGATCTCCACAGACCCTGACATCTTGCCATCCACACTGATGTGTGGATCCCATGTGACCTGGTATAAATGGCTCTTTCTGGAGCTTGATCACTGAGGACCTGGTGTGTTGTTCACATGTGCAGTTTGTATTTCCAAGGACCCAAGAAGTAAATATCCAAACCCTTATCTACAGACCAAGAAGCAAATTGAAAGAAGTTAGGTCACTGATGCAGAGAAGGATGAGTCTGGGAATCACACCTTGGTTTGAGTCTGTCAGAAGCAGTAGGCTGCACAGTGAGCAGGGCTCAGTGGTAGGAAGGTGAGTTTGTACAGAGCTCACCTGTCATCCAGAAGGGAGTTTTCTCAGCATAGATTGACAAGGTGTTCTTGTCAATATCTGCCTTTCAGACAGATATTAATAACTTTATTGGTTTGGAGCAAGAGAAAAAGAAGCACGGGGTGGCTTGGCTTCAGACAAAGGGTTATAACATGGCAATTCCTGCTCTGTTCAAATCCACTTGAAACAGGTGCCAGGGAGAAACTCACCCCCACCTACCATCTCCCCTAATGTGTGTAGTTTGTAGAATAGCAAGGATAGTCACAGACCTGACTTGTCACTGGGCTGCCATAGCCCAGAAAGGAAACAAGTTGTTCTGGTGCAGAATGTTGTGCCAGTCCTCAGAACATGATAAGGGGCAAGTATGGGTGTCTTAGAAAGGAGATACTATTCTGGGGAAGTTTGCTGTTTCTTCAGTCATAACACACATTTCTGTTATTTGATCTGTGTGCTTTGTTCCTGTGGTTCAGCTGATAGAGTCTTAGGCCCATTGTGTCGCTGGGCACAGGTAGTATTTGGCTGCAGCCCTTTTTTTCCCCAGCCCTGAATTCTGCAGTTAGAAGCTATATAGGTTGGCCAGGCAGTGGTAACTTGTGCCTGTAATCTTAACTACTTTTTTTGTGAAAATACTGTACAGAGGGGTTACAATTACATGAGCAAGGTAATGAGTACATTTCTTTTTTTTTTTTTTTGGTCTGGTCATGGGGCCTGAACTCTGGGGCTGGGCGCTGTCCCTCAGCTCTTCAGCTCAAGGCTAGTGCTCTACCACTTGAGCCACACTGCCACTTCCTGCTTTTTTCTTTTTGCTTATGTGGTGCTGAGGAATCGAACCCAGGGCCTCATGCATGCAAGGCAAGCGCTCTACCACTGAGCCACCTTCCCAGACCAATCTCAACTACTTTTGAGAGAGAAATGGAATAAACTGGATTTGAGGTACCTTAGGTAAACGTTCTCAAGACCACATTGCCACAGAAAAGGCTGGGAGTAGTGTTGTCATCCCAGCTACAATATGAAGCTTCAGTAAGAAGATTGTGCTCACCAGGGTGCTCATTATAGGCTCATGCCTATAAATCTAGCTACTTGGAAGGCTGAGATCTGAAGATTACAGTTCAAAGCTAGCCTGGATAGGGAAGTCCATAAGACTCTTTATCTCCAATAAACTACTCAGTAAAAGTGGGAAGTGGAGCTGTGGCTCAAGTGGTAGAGTGCTAGCTTTGGGCAAAAAAAAAAAAACCCTCAGGGGCAGTGGCCAGACCCAGAGTTCAAGCCCCAGAACCAACAACAACAAAAAACAATTGTGTTCTAGGTCTGTAGGGGAAAAAATGTGAGACCCTATCTCAAAAATCACTCGAACATAATAAAACCCACCAAATGCTACTTGAAAAGGAGGGATGAACAAGAAAAGGAATGGTAATATAGTGGAGAGGATAATTTGCTCCAAGTGCTACACTGTGTCCATGTTTGAAAATACCAAAATGAGACTCCCTCATATTATACATGTGCTAATTCAAAAATAAATTGGTAATACTAAAATATCAAAAAAAACTGTAGATGTGGCTACAGCAGTAAGTGTGTGTCTGGTCAGAATCAAGAGGAAGATGGCTAGCAGT